TTTGTATCTTGTCCTTTTTTTGCGTGTATGCGTGTGTGTGTGTGCTTCTATGTTTATATGTCTGATTTGCTTTTGACGGCAAAATCCGTGGTTTTCGTGACTGATACTGATGGTGATATTCATGCGGAATTGGTGATACTATTTCCCGATTGCCAACTGTGTTTTGCTATTGTTAATGGCAAATGTACGAAACAAAGTTTTGGCTAATCAGGATCTGGTTTGTTTGTAATTACTTTACCTTTTTTGTAGTTAGTTAGTCTGTTTCTTTCATTTTTGCTTTGAAAATTTATCTATCAATAGAAAAAAAAGAAATAAATAAAGAAAAGTACCGTCTATTTTTGTTTTTATTTTTCCACCTTCGTTTTCGGGCATCAATTTTGAGTTATAGAAAATCACGTCATTATTGTCGTCATCGTGATTTATTGTAAAACTTTCACCAGCGATGATTACAACTGACTTTTGTAAGATAGACTAGCGAATTGGCTGTCTTCATTTCTTTTACTGCTTCTTTTTATGAATTAGATACCGAGGAGAGGCAAAAACTCTTGATTTGAGTACTGTCAGCATCATAATTCTTTCGCTTCAGACTTTAATGCGCACAGTGTTGAATAGCAATTGAACACTTACCACAAGGCAAGGAACCATGAAAGCAGTAATACTGGTTGGAGGTTATGGAACAAGGCTTCGGCCACTTACTCTAACGCAACCAAAACCGTTGGTGGAATTTGCCAATAAGCCGATGATGTTGCATCAAGTATAATTTTCATATTTTATTACTTTTTTTGCTTTGGAAACGGGTTACATTTCAAAGTTTTACTTATTTTTCCTTTTTATTTGCAGATGGAAGCATTAGTAAAAGCGGGTGTAGATACTGTGATTTTGGCTGTAAGTTATCTTCCGGAGCTATTAGAAAAAGAAATGAAGATTCATGCAGAGAAGCTCGGTGAGCGTTATTTCAGTGGTTGCTCTTCAAAGTCTTCAAGAAGCTTTCAGTGTTTTGTTTTTGCAAACCTCTGGTACAATGCTTTAAAAAATCCAAAAGGAAGTGTTAAGCAATTCACTCGAAATCCTCGTTTTTTTTAGGTATTAAAATAGTCTTTTCCCCCGAAGAACAGCCTCTTGGGACTGCTGGGCCTTTGACACTAATTGAGGAACTTAAGGAAGATAATGAGCCATTTTTCGTTTTAAATTCCGATATTATCTGTGATTTTCCATTCTGTGAAATGATTGAGTTCCATAAAAGGCATAAGAAAGAAGGCACTATTGCAGTAACTAAAGTAGGTAAAGTTAAAGGAGTTCTGCACTTTGGCACACATTATTAACTTGTCACGAAGAAATTGAGGAATGCTTTGTCAGTTTTATAGGTGGAAGAGCCCAGTAAATATGGTGTTTGTATTTTGGATGAACAAACTGGAAAGATTGACAGTTTTGTTGAGAAGCCGCAAGAATTTGTCGGTAACAAGGTATGCGAAAAAATTCACTCCCACTTTCAGTTTTGTAAAATAGTGCGAAAACGTTATGTCACATTTCAATGTGAAAGGAGAATTCAATTGGAAGGGTAAAAATGAACATATTTGTGGAGATTTAAATTACTTTTTCATATGAGAGGAACTTTTTTTTTCTGTTAGATTTGCAAAATGACTTCAGATCAATGCTGGACTGTATATTTTAAATACGTCTGTCTTAAAACGTATACGTTATAACACCCCTACTTCAATTGAGAAAGAGGTTTTTCCATTCATGGCTAAGGACGGCGAATTGTATGCTTTTGTATTAGGTGGATTCTGGATGGATGTTGGCCAACCAAAAGATTTCCTTACAGGTTCCTTCAAAGCATCATTTTACTTTTAGCTTACTGTAGAATCAACCGATGCACTTGGAAATGATAAATATTGTGTTGTTTGGCCCAATTCATGGTATTTCTTCCATTACTTTCAGGTATGCGGCTTTATCTGAAACATTTACATGAAAATGACCCTGGGAAACTTGCAAGTGGTGATTATATCGTTGGCGATGTCATAGTTGACCGAACAGCTTCAATTGGACAAAGGTGTAAAATTGGTAAAATCGTTTGTTCATTTAAAGACTGCAGCTTAATGGATATTACTTGAATAACTCATTCATTAACGGCTTTAGCCGTTATATTATGAGCCATACAATGGCAATTAATGAAGACCATTTAAAGTCTTTGTACTCTGGAGATAAGGTTTTATTAATTTCAGGGCCAAATGTGGTAATAGGTCCCAAAGTGCGGATTGAGGAAGGCGTTTGTTTGCAGAATTGCACAGTACTTTCTGAAAGTGTTATATGTACCCATACTTGGATTAGCGGCAGTATTATTGGAAGAAAGGTTGGTGTTTTTATTAACGTGAACCGTGGAATTTGGCATCCCACCCGTCATCTTCGGGTGGTTTATCCACTGCTTAAGTATTAAGGGATATTGTGACTTCTAGCTGAATTAGGACCCTGGAGCTTGATTTTAGTCTTCATAGAGTTAAACTGCCCAACTTAATTGGTTTTCAGTGTAGAGTTGGGAGTTGGGTACGAGTAGAAAATACAACCGTGATTGGGGAGGATGTTGAGGTGAAGGACGAGCTGTATCTGAATGGAGCCCGCGTACTCCCTCATAAAGCAATTTCTTCTAATGTTCCAGAGCCTGATATCATCATGTGACTGACTTAATTTAATTAAGCCGCCAACGAACTTTTAAGTTATTGTTGTTTCCCTTCTTGTTGTTGTTCAGTTTTTGTCGTTGTTGATTCCGCAGTTCTGCAAACTAGATTTGGAGGGCAGTAATCCGGTCATTTCTTGGCTTGGCGAGACCTTACTAGATTAGAGTTAAGTGCAACTTTCAGTGAGGACTACTCTAAAGAAGCATGCATTTTGAGCCTGAAGTCCGCATCTTTTCTTTTGACTTTGCTACATTCATGACATTCATGTTTTGTACGAGCTTAAGTGCCTTAAGATGATGTTCTTGCCTTTCATGGTTTGTGATCACTTTAAAAATGGCTGTGCAATGGATCCGGGATAAAAATTTCTTGACAGTGTCGTCCACTCACGACGAAAAGGAAGTACATCCCAAGAAACCTTATTATTCGGACGCGGAGTCGCAGTACGTGAATTTAATTTCAGTCTCTTATTTTCTGAGGCACCTACAGCACTCTATATGGTATATACAGAAAGACAAAGAATTCTCCGTAAAGAACAGTGAGTTAATAAGTGGCACAAGAGTCAGAATGAAGTATTTTACAGGAGCACAAATTGAACAGTTCATTGGTTCAGGTGCCTCATTTAGATGTCTTTGCGACTTGATTGCTTTGTGCTTTGATCTCGAACTAATAATGAGTGACCAGCACTGCGCTGCAGAACACAGTGGCGTCTAATAGCATAAAGGAGCACTCATCTTACAACTACGATCATCTTCGAAATCAATATCACTGCATGACATTTCATGTGTCCTCTTGATGCCCCTTAAAATAAATTTTTTAGTGCACATTTTACAGAAAAAAATATAAAAGTAAATTTTTCTGGAAGCCAAGTTGCACTATGGTTGCCCTCACCTTGCTTCTCTGTCTTCTGGTAACTTCATCAGGGCAGATGCTGGCCGACTGAACTGAGCCTCCTCATAATATTCATCGACCGAGCTGTCCGAGGAGTCACTTGAAGACGAACTGCTAGAGTCGCTCGAAGAAGAATATGACAGTGGGGGATTTCCAATATTCGCGGCTTCTTAAACGGAATTGAGTTGTTGAAAATTTATTGTCCTTAACGA